TGATGTTAACTGTCTTTCCTTTGTAAATAATGTTTTTTTGTCTTTTTTTTTTTTTTCTGACAAGAAGCTTCAAGATTTTGTATCTTTCGAGTTCAGGTATTTCCCTAGGGTGTGTCTGGGGCATCTTCTTTCAGGACTTTCCTGAAAGCCCTTGAGCACTTGATGTCCAGTGTGTCTGATGACTCAAGTCTTTCCTTCACTGCGAGGACATTTTTTTTCCTATTATTTCTTTGACATATTATTGTCCACAGGAACTTTTTTGTTTTACACAGATATTGGTTCTTCTGGCTGTGATGATGGTTTGTGGAATCGATCTAGTAATTTACAAATGTAGTTTCCACTTGTGCATCTACGAGGAGATTTATTCTGGCAGTCATGTTTGATTTCCAAAAACTCTTTTGGTTCGCTGGTTACTACGAGTACTTATTCTTGAATTCCCTCGAGCATGTGAATTAGCGTTATTTTAAAGGCACATTCCTGATTCTTGCATTCATTTTGCCTCATTAGGCGTGAACTCCACTTGAGTGCTCAGTTTGATCTGCTCTCTGTGTGTTCATTCCCCTCTGATGTCCCCCCACCTGCCTTTATGAGGCCTGGTGCAAGGCTGGGGCCGGTTCTTGTGTATGCAAGGCTCGTGGCAGGGCTACCCACCACTGAGCCTTTCGGGATTGAGGCCTTTCTGGGTTGCCAGGTAGGTGTGGTGTTCTTCCCTCTGGTGTTTGGTTCATTTTGGTGGGGATTGCAGAAGGGGTTTTTGAATGTGACTTATAGTTTCCTATTTCCAAGAAATTGCTGCGATGTTTTCAGAATCAAAAATAAAACAAACATTACTATAAACTGTCACCATCTTCAGAGTCCCAGGTGGAGACCCCCGTGTCATCTGACTCTTCCCCAGGCCTTGCCTCTGCATGGGTGGGTACTGATCTCATCCGCACAGGCAGTATAGGCTTCCGATCTTCCTGCCTGCACTTCACCTTCTCCCTCGGCCCTCCCCATGGTAAGGAAGTTTCTTCCCCAAACACAAATATGACTTTTACCTTAATCCTCTTTGAATCCCCTTAGGTTTTCTTCTTTTTCCTGCTGAATTGAGTATAACTTCTATATCTGGGTACCCTCTGGGGACTAGCTGGTCCCAGCTTAGTGTGTCTGCCAGCTCCTGTGGCGGGAACTGCTCATTTACCCATTTTCTTGCCTCTCTGAGACATCTTGGTACATGACTGGGGTTGGTCCACTTGACTTGGTGGACATGGGCAGTCTGGCAGTGACAGGAAGCTGGCATCCTTAGGCTTACATGTTGGTGGTGTCCTGGCAACCAGATCAGCAAGCTGAGCACTGCACCTGGAGTGTCAGGTATGGTAGGTCCAGGTGAAGGGCACATTCTGAGACAGAGAATTGCTGAAGGTCACATCCAAGCCCTTCAGGAAAGAGACTGACCATGCTGATGGCGACACTGAAATATGTGTTTAAGGAAAGGACCAGTGAGTAGTTCAAGAAAAGGTCTCTTGTCATAGGACCCTGAGCAGCCACACAGACTAACAGTCATAGCAGGTGAACAGCAGTAGCCTTAGCAGGTGAACAAAAGACAGTGGGCACTCTTGCCTCTTTGCAAACTTTGCCTCTGTTAGGGATTGGTTCCTTGGATTATTGTAAAACATTTTAAGTAAGAATGTAGGAAAAAGGTTAATTCTAAGTAATTTATACACACCATACCACAACTAGCTCTGTGAGGGCTAAAGTAGAGCCTTTAGGGTTTTCTTTTTTTTTTTTTGAAAGAGTCTTACTCTGTTGCCCGGGCTAGAGTGCTGTGGTATCAGCCTAGCTCACAGCAACCTCAAACTCCTAGGTTTAAGTGATCATCCTGCCTCAACCCTCCTGAGTAGCTGGGGATATAGGTGCTGGCCACCACACCTGGCTAATTTTTTGTTTCTATTTAGTTGCCCAGCTAATTTTTTCTATTTTTTAGTAGATAACGGGGTCTCACTTTTACTCAGGCTGGTCTTGAATTCCTGACCTCAGCCGATCCTCCCCCGTTGGTTTCCTGAGTAGCTGGTACTACAGGTGTGTGCCACCATGCCCAGCTAATTTTTTCTATTTTTAAGTTGCCCAGCTAATTTCTTTCTATTTTTTTTAGTAGAGACGGGGTCTGGCTCTTACTGAGACTGTTTTGGAACTCCTGACCTCAAGCCATCTTTTCTGCCTAGGCCTCCCAGAGCACTAGGATTACAGGCACAGGCGTGAGCCACTACACCCAGCCCTGCCTTTAGAGTTTTCTAAGCAATGTCCTTAACTTCCTCTCTGACTGTAGGAAGTCCCCACTTTTATGAGTTGTAAACTACCTAGTAAAATGAGTCCTTATATCCCCTACAAGCAGCAGAAAAGATAAGGGAATATGTGACCTACTCCTCCCTGTTCTTGAAAAGGGAAAATTATTTTAAAAGTGACTATAAATTACAGTAGACTCCATATACTCTCTCCTTTATGGACTTTGCTCTATCTGGTAATATGCATGTCCCTGCTTCTCAAACTGGAACGAGTATCCCTTGGAGCAGGGGTCCCCAACCTATGGTGACTTGTATAATTACTTCATTATGTTAATATATTACAAGGTAAGAATAACAGAAGTAAAGTGCACAATAAATGTAATGTGCCTGAATCATCCCTAAACCATCACTCCTGCCCCCAGTCTCTGGTTCGTGGAAAAATTGTCTTCTGTGAAAATGGTCCCTGGTGCCAACAGGGTTGGGGACTGCTGCCTTGGAGGATCTGATCTTGTGCTTAGGGTCAACATGGCACATCTGCGATGCCATTTTTGGGAGGATGGAAATATCTTTAAATCAAGGTCTTAGTCTCAACGCTTGTGTGGAGATTGTGTGGGCCATGGAATTCTTTACTGTAAGATCTGCCCTATTTGGCGGCACCCCTGGCCTCTGCTTACTAGATGCTAGTAGTTCTTTCCAGCTGTGATGGCTAAAATGTCTCTAGATGTTGCCAAATGGCTCCTGGAGAACAGAGTCACTCTGGGTTGAGAACCAGGGCTTTAAGCAAACATGGATATAATGTGAATGAAAACATACATTGTCCATGAATATATGTAAATAAGAACAGCCGCCTCAAAAGATCTGATACATGTACTCCGATCTCTCTGTTCCACTGATGCAAGTTGATGTTCTGGCAATTATTTCTTTTGTTTTCCTTTTGTGCTCTCTGACTACTGAACTCCCAAATCTTGTATAATTCTTTCTGTTATTTGTTTAGATTCCCCCTCCCCCTTCCCCCGGCTCTTCCAAAGTATTTGTTGAACAAATTGTCCCGTGAAAAGAAAGTTTCCTACTTGTGTTTCCAAGCTTCTTGTAGGCCTGTCTTCGTGTCTGCAGGACAGCTTGGTTGGAATGTTCATTCTTGGCGGGAAATTAATTGGCAGTGAGATCTGATGTCACCCTAGTCTGAATGCCAGGGAATGCTCTCTGCCCTTCCCACCCCTACCTGCTTGCATTATTTTTTTCTTATAAGAATTCAGGCGTACCTAGGCACGTTTTATTGTATGTGTACTAACCCTTGGAGGGATCCTTTGTGCCCTCTCAGTTTTGATGCCAAGTTCTCGAAATGTTTGTTAATCTTAGGGTGAATCACTTATTTTACAGGTTATAATTCCATTGTTTGAAATTAAGTCTTGAATTTTCTGCTGCTTCGCTGAAACTTGGCTGCATAGAATTGTTCTTATTGCATTCTGCTTTTAACTTTTTCTTAGATTTTACTTAGCTTGGAGTGTTATGCTGTTTCCTTAGTAATAGTGTCCGAGTCTGAGATTCCCTGGGTATCCATCTTGGGGGATTTAGTAGTGTTGATGCCCCAACCCCATCTCCCACCTTTTCTTTTTCTTGCCAGTTTACGTCCTTTCTGGGGGAGTGATTTGAGTTTCTTAAAGTGTACATTGTCATTTGATTTTTAAATGTTTTACCTTTTTTTTGGTATGGGATTCTAGCCCATTTAAAGCTCATCTTGCTACCTTCCTGGAATTCTGTGTAGCTATTTACTCCTAGATTGGTTTTATCTCCTGCTTTTGATGCTTTTGAGTGCCTTTGCCAGCCTTTTAATTGTGCACATACAGGGAATTCAGAATTATTATTATTATTTTTTTTTGAGACAGTCTCGCTTTGTTGCCCAGGCTAGAGTGAGTGCCATGGCGTCAGCTTAGCTCACAGCAACCTCAAACTCCTGGGCTTAAGCAATCCTGCTGCCTCAGCCTCCCGAGTAGCTGGGACTACAGGCATGTGCCACCATGCCCGGCTAATTTTTTCTGTATATATTAGTTGGCCAATTAATTTCTTTCTATTTATAGTAGAGACGGGGTCTCTCACTCTTGCTCAGGCTGGTTTCAAACTCCTGACCTCGAGCAATCCGCCCGCCTCAGCCTCCCAGAGTGCTAGGATTACAGGTGTGAGCCACCTCGCCCGGCCTCAGAATTATTTTAATATCCATTTAACTATGATAAATTGGTTCTGTCTGCATTGTCTGCCACAGCCACAGATACCTATTTCAATTTTAATTAAAATTAGACACGATTAAAATTCAGTTATACATTTGCATTAGCCACATTTGAAGTGCTCTGTAGCCACATGTGACTAGTGATGACTCACCTGGACAGGGCATATATAGAACATTTCCCTTGTTGCAGAAAGTTCTATTCTGGTAGTGCTGGGGTATAAGATATGTGCAATCGTGCGTGTCAGAGAAATACCTCAGCTGCTTTTTTCCCCTAGTATAGTGATATTTTTGATATTTTAGTTTATTTAGTGGTTCTTCTCTCAAGGGGGAAGTTCAAAATTGGTTGGTTTCTATAAACGGAGAGCAGGTGGGTATTTGAAAAGAGTAATTGGATAATGTATTTTTGGATGTTTGAGTATAATGTCTCATGTGACTTTTTCTATGCGGGGAACTCAATGACCATGTGTCCTGTGTTTGTGTGCCTCAAGGTGATTTGGCTGCTCTCTTCTTCCTAGGTGCTAGGAGATGCCGTTTGCAGATCTCATCGCTGCCTGAGAATCGGGTGCTCCAGCACCAAAGAGCCAACTCTGATCCTGGGCTCCTTGCTTGAATAAGCCTTCACTTCCAGCTGCTCCAGTCCAACGGCTGTGCAGAACTGCTCATTTTGTCTTGATGATGGGCATTGGTAAGAACACCACGTCCAAGTCAATGGAGGCTGGAAGTTCAACAGAAGGCAAATACGAAGATGAAGCAAAGCACCCCACTTTCTTTACTCTTCCGGTAATAGTATTCCCCGTCCTTTCTTCTTAAATCACTCTAAAGTAATTTCTGTGTGGAATCAACATAGATTGGCTTTTTTTTTTTTGAGACAGAGTCCCACTCTGTTGCCCCGGCTAGAGTGCCATGGTATCAGCCTAGCTCACAGCTAGGGCTCAAACTCCTGGGCTCAAATGATCCTCCTGCCTCAGCCTCCCAAATAGCTGGGACTGCAGGCATGCACCACCATGCCTGGTTAATTTTTTCTATACATTTTTAGTTGGCCAATTAATTTCTTTCTATTTATAGTAGAGACAGGGTCTCACTTTTGCTCAGGCTGGTTTCCAACTCCTGACCTTGAGGGATCTGCCCGCCTCGGCCTCCCAGAGTGCTAGGATTTACAGGGGTGAGCCACTGCACCCAGCCTAGATTGGCTTTGATACTCATATTTTCAGTGAAGATTAAGGAATTTATAAACCAGATGCTTGTCACGTGAGATAGTCTTTGGGCTGACGCGTGGGTTTTAGCCCTGCTGTTGGCTTGTAGTCACCTGCTGGGATTAACTCCAGCAAGGAAGCATACATTGCTATTAACCACTTCGGTACGATGATCACTAGCCGTGAAACCTTGCCTCCGCCCGGCACTCAGAGTCAACACTATAGTTCATGCTGTGCATTGATAACGAATCCATTTTGCTCTTGTGTGATGAGGAAAGCTATAAAGCACTGAAAGCTTGTTTTACTTTACAGGCAGCTTTACTTGTAAATCAGAATAGGTAACATATACATATATGTTTTCATTACATTATTTTTAAATGTTCACAATTTTATTTTGATAAATGAAAAATTAGAAAAGTCATATCACGGCTGTTGGCTAAAATTGCTGTGCGTGTTCATCTGTGGCTGTCGACTATAGTCGACGCCGGTACCAAAGTGGTTAACATTTGAAATCTGGCCCAGTGCTTACTGTATGTATACTGAGGGATGTTGAAGGTTTAATTTTATCTTCAAAAATATAATCGTGGGCTGGATGTGGTGGCTCATGCCTATGATCCCGGCATTTTCTGAGGCCAACATGGGAGGATTGCTTGAGGCCAGCAGTTCGAGACCAACCTGGGCAACATAGTGAGACCCTGTGTCTACAAAAAAGTAAAATTAAAATCCGCTAGGCTTGGTGGCACATGCCTATAGTTCTAGCTACTCGGGAGTTTGAGGCAAGAGGATCACTGGAGCCTAGAAGTTGGAGGTTACTCACCACTGCACTACAACCTGGGCAACAGAATCAGACCGTATCTCTTTAAAAAAGAAAAAAATGCTCTTATGAAATAACATAAGCCAACTTCATACTAGTATTGGAAAGTGGGAGGAGGAATGAATGACTGTTTGGAACCCAAATGCCATAGTGTGATATTTTGTCGGCAGTGTCCAAAATAGAGGTAGTTTCAGCTGAATAAGTGATATAAGTCAGACAAGATTGATTATGTATGTTTAATATATTCAACACTAATATTTTCCCCAAATGTAGGAGTATGATTTGATTTTTTAAAAATTACCTATAAAATACTGGTTTTAAAAAGGAAAGAAACTCTTGAGAGATCTTGCCTCAGGGTGTTTAAGAAAGTGTTTGAAATGTGGCTAATGGCAGAATGGTATTCTAGGATTCCTTAAAACAAGGCTCTGGAATCGGCCTCACTGTGGCGGTGTGCAGTAAGTATGTCGGTTGACCACTTGCATTCACGTTTTGACTTTTACCACATTAATTCACAGAGAAACGTTCAGCCGATTTTATAACTGGCACTACTTTCTTTTTTCCTGTACAGTGAAATTTTGAAACCAGATTTTCTTTCATGTTGAAGGCTTAAGGTTGATACAGGATTTCCAAGGGAAAAGACAGTATAGCTTATTCATTAGTCAGTTGCTCAGGTTTAAATTAGATTAGCTCTGAAGAGTGAAAAGGAAAGATTCATGCCTAGGGATCAACCTTGCTCTTTTGTTGCTTTCTTTTGCCTTGGAGCCAGCAGGTTATTCACTCTCACTCCCCTTCCCTTCAGAGACAAGAAGCAAGTGCTGCAGTAGGGTTCCTATAGGGCACCGGTCCCCAACCTTTTTGGCACCATGGACCATTTTCATGGAAGACAATTTTTCCACAGATGGGGGTGTGGGGTGGGGGGGTCGTAGTGGGGATGATTTCAGGTTGGGGACCCCCTGCTATAGGGTGCTTCTAGAACCCAGGAGAAGGTTCCTGGACTCTTTATTTGGGGTGATTGGTTGAAGTCTGGGGTAGGTTAGGACAGGGAGAGTCAGTGGGCCTGGGAGGTACCAAAGGCCTGGACTTAGGTGGGGACAGCAAGAACATAGGTGAGGCTGGTAGATGCAGGGAGGTGTTGAGGGCCCAGAGAGTGGGAAGTTCAGGATGCCCACTGAGATTTTATACACGGGAACCTGTTGGGTGGATGGTGGCTTTGCAAAAAATATGGAGTCTAGGGACAACCATAAGTTTTGAGAGTGGGGAAGATAGAAGATGATGGATTTTATTTGAGAAGTTGTGTATTTGCAATGCTGATGTGCTCCGAAGCCTGCAGGCATGTGGGTGTGGGACTTGGCACACATGGAGAGAGCAGGAGAGCTGTGCAGACTCACTGTAAAGGCTCGAGGGGGTGGCGCTGACCCGTGGGAGAGGCTTTGGCTGCCGGGCAGAGCCGGCGCAGGAAGAGAGGGCTGAGGGTTTCACTGTTGGAGATGCCCACACGTGGGTGACTCAGAGGATCACGACAGGATGTCACTGCCTGCTAATGCCTTGTTTTATCCTGGCTTTTGAAAATGTAAATATCGAAGGCTAATCAGCACAGCAGCTCTGGGTTTTGTCTTTTTGAGTAGATCTGTGCTGTCCAACACACCATCACTGCTGGCCACACGTGGCTATTGACGTTCAAATTAATTAGAATTAAATAAAACCTCAAGTTCACTTTCTTGGTTGTACTAGTCAAGTGCTCAGTAGCCACATGAACCCTGTGGTTATCCCACCTCTTTGCTTACTGGATAGGGCCTTGCAAGACTGAAATGCCAGCTCTTATTTCCTTATTTGCTTTATAGTCCCAAGCTGGGCCTGGGGCTGTCTGTCAGCTGTGAAGGCATCTAGAGACAGGTGTGCTGGAGTGCAGAGAGGTTGGGCTGCAGGAACCAAACCTGGCTGTTCCTCAGAACCAGGATTGGTGGTAGTGGTGGGGGGCGGTCTGCTGGAGTAGGTGGTTGGGGCATGGCTGTTAAGGATCTGATGATTCTAATTCCTCTTAGATAAGTACTTCATAAAATAAATGCAGATTTTTAAAATACTTACATGGAAGAGAACTAGAGTTTCTTGAAAGAAAATGAAATAAACACCTGCAACAATGATTTTTAAAGGTCCATATATAGAAGAAGAATACTGACTAGGTCACCGTAAGAACAAGAGACATGCAAAGCCCCAGCATTCATGGAAATTAGACCACACGACCAGAGTTGATATTAAATAGGAGAAACATAGCAAAAGATCTTCCTATCCCACAGGAATCTTGTTAGGCAGACTTGTGTGTTTTTAACACCAGCTAGGAAATGTATAAATGGAGTGGATACAGCATGGCAAGAAATGGGGACCAGAACAAGACAGCAGAAAGTCTGGATGAACCATCATACCCTATGGGCATTGGCGCCAGAGAGCAATGGGGAAGAGCAGCCAGGAAAGGGCCGTGTGTTTGCTCTGCAGTGTCGCCTGAACCTGGAAACCAAGTTAATAGCCTGAACTTCCTGTTGGCACAGGCACATCTTAACACAGCCTGGTATTTATTTATTTATTTATTTATTTATTTATTTATTTATCTATTTATTCATTCATTCATTCATTCATTCATTCATTCATTCATTCATTCATTCAGCACATCATCATTCAGTGTCAGGGAAAATGTTTAGGTTCCTTAAGCTTTTATTTCTCTTCATAGCCTCTGTGAGAATATTTGGGTTTCTTCTTTTGGGTGGCAAGATCACTTCGTCTGGAGATATTAGTGGCATGGACTGAGAGGTAGCTTCATTAGGTTCAGTTTTATCAGAGGGTTGGAGGAATACTCATAGGTTCATGAAACACCATCGCTCCGCTCAGCTTTCCTTAGTGTGTGTTATTCAGAACCATATGATGTTAAGAGCCCACAGGCTTGCCCCCTTGCATTGACCAAATATGTGGGCGCTCACATCGTGATCAGCACCGCACAGACCCCAGCCACGCAGACCTGGTAACCAGCTGCTTGCGGTGTCGTCGTGGCGACAAGGCAGGTCAGCAGGCAAACCATCAGTGTCAGGGTTTGAGTTCAGCATGGGGTGCTGTGAGGGTGTCCCAGTGGGACCTTTGCCCAGTTGTGTTGTAGGGTGGGCCTGGCCATTCATTTGAAAGTTCCCGGGGTGGTAGTGGGGTGACACGGAACTCCTGAAAAATAGCTAGGTGTAGCTTGTTAAGAGGAGGGAAACCAAAGGCCCTTCAGCAGGGTCAGCACAGCCCAGTCCTGCTCTGGGTGCAAGCACAGTTGCAAGCGGAATGCAGCGGAGCCGGGGTAGGAGGTGGGGATGCCGAGGGAGCTCCAGGTAAAATCACTCCAGTTTCAGGACTGAGTCCTGCAGTAGGTGCCTGGGCTGGAGGGCTGTGGAGACAGGAAGGCAAGTTAGACCAGAGATTATGCAGTCCTCATGGTCCTGATCAGGACGTCCGCCAGCTTTTCCCAGAGTTAAGGAAAAGCTGTTGGAAGGCTTTGAGCAGAGACTTGATGGGCTCTGCCTGGTTTTAGAAGGATCCCTTTGGCTGCCGAGTGGGGAGCAGGAAGCCAGGCAGGAGCTTGGCGGGGGCCAGGCCCTGCAGGAGACCTGGCCCGTGTGCTGATGGGCTGGCCTAGGGCTGGAGTGAGAGAGCAGGCAGGGGTGACTTCGGTGTTTTCCTGGAGTATCTGGAAGGCTGGATTGGCCAGATAGTGAGATGAGAAGACACGTTGGGTGGGAAGAGTCGAG